TTGCAGAATCACCCCTATACTTACTCCATCTTCCCAGCCGCTCCACCCAAATTTTACCTAATCGTAAAAAAAAGATAAAAAAAAGGGCAGCCAAAAAATCGATTTATGAAAGTATGTCGAAAATACAAAATACGATAAGTTCTTGTATTCACCCGAGGCACCCGGCACCGCGCATTGCGTGGTGCTCTACACTAGTATATATATATATACATATATATATATATATATACATATATATATATATATACATATATATATATATATATACATATATATATATATATGTGTGTGTGTGTGAGTGTGTCAAATATTTCATATATACCAAATTTACCCTCAACTCTTTGAAACCCTAATCCAACTCCAATTTTATAATTTACACTTCAATTTAGCCCAATCTCATTAATTAATCAATTTTGACCCTTATTCTAGTTTTGACCCCAATTTTGACCACCACTGTCGATGACCACCGGTCAGCAGCCGTTGACTTCTTTTTTCTGATATTTTTTCCGGCATGTTAGTCGCCGTTGACCGCGGGTCTCTAGTGTTGACTTAAAAAAATATTTTCATTAATATTACTGTTTGAGAAAGTAATATTGTAGCGCAAGCTGCATGTTGCTGTTGCATGCAACTTGCATTTTGGTGTTACAACTTGAAAGAAAATATATAATTTGGTAGACAAAATAATTGGATATTCAAAAATAATATTGAAAAATATGATCCATTACAAATAAGCTCATCATCCCATATACTTATTCGTAAAGGGGTCTAGACAAAAAACTCTTTCAGAAAAAAATCCACACATTGTCCAAAGATGTATAAAGGACTAAAATTACCCCTCTCATTTTAATATGCTCCAATTTCATCTTTTAATTTAATTTAACCTCAATTTGACCCAAAATTGTACAAACTATTCAACAATTTAGACCCAAAAGTCAATTTGAGTACAATTTTTGTTCTTTTCTCGTGATTTTTCGGCCAGTTTTTGGCGCCGGTCTCCGGCGTTGAATTTTTTTTTTATCATCTTGATTTCCCGTCGGTCTCCGGCGATGACTTTCAATATTTTTTTTTACTTTAACATCTTTTTGCCCCGTTTAAACATCAATATTGTTGTGGTTGACAGTCATATTAACTATATTACTGTTTAACACTATAATATTAACTATATTACAGTTTAACATAGTAATATTGCTATATTACTCCCTATCACAGTAATATTAACACAAGCAAAATTCTTGGAGACGAATAGAAAGGACCTTTTGGAATAAGAGAAAGAAAGAAGGGGCCTGGCGGTGGGAGGCCATAAGCGGTGAGGCAGCTACGGCAGAGTAAAGATAAAAAAAGTCAATCATTCTATGACTAGAAGAAGATAAGTTTGTTTTTCATCACAGCATGACTACATAAATGGTTTTGACTGATCAATTTATTTACCCCCTCCATTTTATCTATCCTCCTTTAGAAGTTTCAACATCGGTCTTTTTTTTACCAAGACCACTTTTTGAGAAAAATCCATTTATCAATTCGCCTGTTTTCACTCGTCGCAACCCTTAAAGAAATACGTCCGAGTACAAAAACTTAAACCCAATATCAAACATCAAGATTTTTTTTTAAAACCTGCTCAAAACTTAAAAACCGGAGAAAAGCCTCATGCAATGCAAGAACATAGCACAAGATTAGCAATAGATAAGACGAACTAATCTGCAAGTGTGAGCAACAATTTCTTCACTGCAGAAAATTACTCACACTTAGCATCAATACAATTATTTTCTCTAAAATGACGAAACAAAGGTTGGGGTTGTGCAACTGGAGAAACGTTGAAAATGACTGGCTGAGAAAGATTGGAAATGAAAATGAACAAGAAACAAGGGTGATGAGAAGAAAATGAAGGAAAAAGGAGAAGAAAATCAAGGAAGAAGAAGATGATGATGTTGGTCTTTGTGTCGAGAGAGATGAAATAAAAATGAAACAAAATAGAAACTAGGCCTACAAGTTAATTTGAATTGAAAAGACGAAAAAACCTATGGACGTAACCATGTGCCTCGCGCGTGTGACAGAATATTTGAATATTCGACATAGGTGGTTAAGTGGCTCGAAATAACTAGTTTGTGCGTGATCGTGCAAATTATTTTTTGTCAAGGCGGCTATGTGTAAACACTAGCAAAGTACAGGTGGCAAAGTGTTATTCTAAAATAAATGCACTTTGTTATAGTGAAAATTCAACGAATCGGATTGAAACTTAAAACAAATTGAACCAAAATTTTGAAAATACGACCCAAGGAATTTTAGAAATTATAAAGAAAAACATGTGCCAAAATCACAAGTTTCCCGATCAAAATTTCCATTTTCTTGTCACCTATAATATAAAAAAAAAACACATCATAATATTGATGTTCAAAGTGTATTTTTTTGAAGGCAAAATTTTCGAAAATGTTTTCGTAAATTAAAATTGAATCGTAATTCGGAGTATAATAAGTATTCATAAGGGTGGGTTTGGTAAGCCTACCGTACCAATCAATTACAACATTGAAATTTTTGTTGTGAAATTCATTACCCTCTTACCAATTTTTTTTGGGTACGATACAATATGGTACTGCTAATTATCAATTTACGTTATAGTGACATTGTTTATATCATTTTTGTAAAGCAATTCAAGGTAGAATCGTGTTTTTTAATGTAAAAAAAAAAAGGCATATTCATGTTTAAAATACACAGAATCCAGTATTTATGGGCCCATGGCATAAATATTCTTTGTTGGAAATTTTATATTCAAACCAATTTTTAATAAAATATTTAAGTGAGTTCCTTATCGAAAATGGAAAATATAATTTAATTCACGATCTACATTTCGAGTGGATGAATCTGCTGTAGTTAAGCTTAAAACTAATTTTGGATGAATGAAAAATGAATGCACAAAGATAGACACTTAAATAAGATTAATTTATGAGAATTGGGAAGGTGAAAAGTCACCATCCATATTGGAAAAAGAGCCTTGATGAGAACACTTTAAATAGTGGACCTTAGATTGCTAATAGAATAATTAATAAAATGTGAGCTTAAGTGCAAAGTCCCACGCGGGCCTCCGCTACCCGCCCGGCCCAAGCCCGTACCTCAAGCTGGGCCCAGTTTAAATTCAAAATTAATTAATTTTTGAGGGTATAATTAGTTAATTCGAATTTAATATTTTTAGCTAATCGCAGAGTGACATGTGTCCTTAGGTGACATCATCGTCTAGTCCGCGGACATGACTGTCCATGAAAGCGCCAAGTGGTGCTTAGTCCCTGCAAAATGATGACACGCCTTTTCAGCCCCCATTCTTTCCTAAAGTTGTGTTTTTTGGACTTAAGTTTTGCAGTCCTATAAATAGAGCCCCTGCAGAATTCAAAATCATTCATTCTAATTCTAAGCATTCTCTGCATACATAAAGTATATTGTTCATCTCTTCCTTCGTGTCTATGGAGTTCAAAGCTCACGTTTTATTCGTTGTAATTCGACTTTCGTATGCTGCAAAATTCGAAACTCTTAAGTCGTTGTATCTTGGGGACAATTGACTATGAATGTAAGCAAATTTACGGGTCAATATTGTCTTGCGGAGAAATAATCTAATTCATGCCTCGACTTCTTTTTTCGACCAAAATTTCTGTTCAAAATTCATTTCAAAATACACCTCAAAAATAACATTCTTAATATATGTTATTAGTAATTTAGCATCTACGATGCACGGACCGTTTGAATATAACAGAAGATATGATATATTTACAAATATAAATGAATCATGTTTATCTGTAAAACTTAAATTTCAAAATATAAATATTTATTAATTTTTAAATTAATTATTCCAAATATGTATAGAGTATAAACTAATAATTGTAAATAGTTTTTACATTAGTAAAATAATGATCTATATATCTTGTAATATTTATGTATATCCGCCTTATTTTCTACTGTTTTTTTTTCTTTTTCGGTCTCTAGTCAGTAGTCACTATAAAATTTTGACAAAATAAATACTTTTAAATTTTCTATAAATATGAGAACCTTTGTATTATATGCCTATTTGTCCATTTTGAAATACGACAAGTAAAATATATATCAATTTTATAGTTGCACCTATATATATTGGTGCCCTATAATAAATAGATCAAGTAGAGGAAAAAAAGGGAGTGCTTCTTCGACAAATATAACATTTAGAAAATTTATAGTGAAAAACTAAACACAAAGATGTCATTTACAGAAAGTGGAATAGGAAAAAAAATGTAAAACCGTTCCATTGAGTCAAGAAATAAAATTTCATGAGGAAAAGAGATAAGAAAGAAAACATAAATTATTAGAAACACAGTAGAAAAAAATAAACAAAAATAATTATAAAGATGCACTTAGGTTGCCCTAGAGTTACCCAAGTGTTAGTTACTTTTAAATATAAAGGTTAACATACCTAACATAAAATATTCTTGACCTAAATTATAACATAAATTTTTTTAAGATAACGTATATCATCTTTGACGGAATCATTCAAATTATTTTTGACATACCTGAAAAGTGTTACAAATTTGAACTACTATATTTATTGTCCATACAAAATATATTAATAATTAAAATGTGTATATATACGGTAGAAAATTTGGCACAATAAACATTGGTAGAAATAATTTGATAAATAATTTGTATGGTGAACTGTAGGGCAATCGGTTCGATAAAAAATATTCAACCCTAGGAACTTCCGGAATTCGGAAAGAAAAATTTTTATCCTAAAATTGGAATATCGAAATCGACAGGACTCAAAAATTTGGTTCGAATTTCCCCAACTAACTTTTACCATCTACGTACATATATATAATAAATAACAATAATAATCCACTCAAATTGCATTATCCACCATTTGTGTAGCATATATAATAATCCAGAAGAACTTAATCAAAATCCATGTCCAAGAAATTGTGCAATACAATTTCATATTCTATAAAATTTACAAAATCATCACTTTCACGTCTAAAATAAGCTATATTAGCTCATACTATACGCTCCACTTTTGGATGAAAATTCGACGGCCCTCCCGATTTTAGGGCCCCATCATTTGGTCCTTTATGAACTCCCCAATCATCCAACGGTTCGATTTCATCGGGTCCCATATACCCCACCTTACCAGATTCAAAATTCTGCAGTTGCATATTATATTCAACAAAAACAGCATGAGCTAACCTCTTCTGTTCTCTTCGACTTATTCCCGTATCAAGAAGTTTCTCCACCGAAACCCTATTCAGCTGAAATTTCGATGCACCCTCACATGTTTGGCTCAGTATTCGAAGCGCCAGTTTTTGTAGCTCCGGACATTCGCCCCCATATTTCAACCACCATTTTGCTGCAATTTAAAAATTAGCAATGATAAATAAATAAAATCAAGAACTAACCACGCTAAATGTCGTTTATATTTTATGATTTCGTTTTCAATTTGAAATGTGATTTTGACCTTTTTTCAACCTTTAAGTTGGCTTTCTAATCCAACTTAAACTAACTAGATTGAGATTGCATGTCGGGTGCATGTCAAGTGCGTGTCGAGTGAATGTCGGGTGCATGTTGGGTGAATGCCTGGTGCATGTCGGGTGCATGTTGAGTGAATGTCGAGTGCATATTGGGTGCATGTCGAGAAAATGTCCGGTGCGTGTCGGGTGCATGTCAAGTGAGAGAGATATGCATGCATGAATGAAAGGTCGAAGTCAAAAGGGTAATAAATAAAAGCGAAATGACATTTTTTAGTTAAACAATTGTAATATATGTATTTATATATATTAAAACAAAACTAATCGAACCTGGAGAAGTATTTGATCTCTGGTCCTCTGCGCATCCCAAGCCAAACGCGCCCTTAGAATTCTGGTACGTCTCGATCTGTATAGTGACCCGATCCTGGACCCGCGGATCCCGGGTAGTCCGTACAACACAACACAACAAACCTGTTGCAACTTCAAGGTCGATAAACCTATCGCTTGTGTAGAAAAGATTCGGGTTCAAATAGTAACCCGCCGCATGAATCGGGGTGTAGAGTACACCGGTCCAAATCTCGTCTATCACTTTCCAAAACCTCGTGTATTGTGATTTATTCTTTTTGAGCCCTTGTTTAATAGTCTCCTTCGCTTGATCCATCGTTTCGTATATATATCCCATCTGCTCCTTATTACTACTCCCCGTCATCCATTGTATTACGCGCACGAGAGGTATAGCTGCTTTGAGCACATCCGATGCCCCCATCCAAAAAGATTCATCACTCACCAAATCATATACTTCGTCCCAACCCTTGTCTGCCAAAAAAATGGGAGAGCGAAACATTTTGGTCAACATTTTCTTCTCCAAGACGATATTCTCGAGGGTTAAGAAAGGCTGCGTTGACTTGATCTTCGAACTCTGCTGAAATAAATCACCGTCCGTTTTCTCCTTGAGATACTTGAGCGCGTTAGGGTTTCCGTAAATAAACCTCGTAAATATTTTCGCCTTCTCCAGGATTTCTTTGATGACGTCCATTTCCAACAATTTCTCCAGCATGAGTTGCATGCAGAAAGACCCGCTTACCGACCAAAATATTTGTCGGTATTTCTCTGACAATTCCGTCACCAGTTCCTTGGTAAAAATAGAATCTGAGGATGTAATAACTTGAACCACATTCTCGATCCCAACTTCACTCAACACTTTGTCGAATAACATTTTCATTTCGTCAGTTTTTCCAATATAATCAGAAATATCGTACGTGCTGAGATAAACGGTTGCTCTCGGTGAGTCAACTAAAACATTGACGAAATCCCTTCCCGTTTCACCCTTCCATTCATCGAGCAAGATAGTGCATCCTGTGTGCGCCCACGAATTTCTAGCCTCGTCGATATATTTAGTCACTTCTTTTAATGCATCTTTAAATAACGACCCTTTTAGCTCATCGAGGGTGGGGATGTGGCACTTTCTAGGACCCATCATGTTGTGGAAACTTGGGGAACTTACTAAATGAAAATCGAGCCCGTTTTCGAAGAAGAATCTTGCAATATCCTCTTTGGTTTTCTTTATCGATGGATCAACTTCTGTCGTGGAATTTTGTTGATGATTATTATTGTTATTATCAGGTCGGTTTGAGATGGAAGATGATTCGATCCCGATGTTGTTTTCGGATGATCTATTTGTCTGAGTGAGCTCTGTCTTTAGCTTATAAGTTGTTCTTGTGTCGGGGAATAAATCGTTCCTCTTCATTTTGGACAGTGAAATTGGAATATTTTGTGTATGTAGCTCAGATGTGCCTGATAACATAATACAAGAACACAAGCTAAGGTTAAAATCATTACATTAATATATTCGAATTTCAAGACAACATAATAAGATTAGTTAAGAGAAAGTTAAGTACACAAATAAAAACCCAATTGTATAATTTAAACATGAGGATAGGATAAGCTACGATAAAATAATATTTATGGGTTTAGCTACTGTGAAAATTATTTAGTTAATATTTAGTGAATCATGGATAATCTCTCCAATCAAACGAGACCTTAATTACATGACTAATTTCAATGGCAAAAGCTTATTATTGCAACATCCTTACCGAGTAGATAGATTTGTTATTTACTCTATCTGTAAAGAAAATTCCCCTAACTTGATTTTCCTAGTTCATATAATCATCTCTCTATACAAAAAACGAAAAATGCAAGCTATCATATAGGACGAAAAGAGAACAGCAATTTAAAAAAAATACTAAGTATTATATTTTTACAGTAAGTAACTAATTTTGAATTCATAGTAGAAAAAAATACAAAATATTATGCCAGGAGTTTATTTTTTTTTAAATGTCGTTTAATGTATATGCGATAATCATAATAAAAGATATTCATTTTAATAGAAAATCCCAAAACTACCATTTACACATATTAAGAAATGATCTTTTTTCTCCACATAAATCCTCATAAATGATAAAGGACAAAATAGGTAAAATGAAAATAACTCAACATTGAAAGTCTAAGGGGCGTAATATGGAAAAATGTTTTATGGCTAAAGAGACAATTAAAAAGAAAACAAAGTAAGTATTACAACTCCAAATAATCGTATTCCAACAATCTCTTTAAAAAGGGCAAAAAGGGTCCGAAAATACAGAAAATATAAATTTAGGGGCAAAAATACAAATTCCAAAAATATCTCTTTATTTTAAAAATAATTCCTAAACTTATGGGACTAATTTGCAAAATCGAAACCCTAGTAGGTTTTCATTATCGAAAACTCGCCGCTTCGAAAACTAATTAAAAGTACCCGCCGCTTCGAAACATAAAAGTATCCGCCGCACAACTATTTGCCATTTCGGCCACCACAAAAAACAAACACACTCACACACATTTCCGATCTAAAACATTTTAGATCTGAAATTTTCATTCCGGCGAACCATAATCACAGATTAATAATGCATTCTATTTTCAAATTCCCCTAAATTGTAAAAATAATGATAATAATAATAAAAAATCTAGTTCAATTATATGTACCATGTATAGTGTATCTATATGTTTCAATCGAACATTTATCATCCCGAAAACCCTACGCCGGTAGGGCGGTACCATGTCGGTCGTCTCGGACCTCAATTAAAGATCAAGTTTACCTTAAACTCTCATGAAAAACACCTAAAAAAGAATGTAATAATTTCTTGAAAATTGAAAAGGAAAAATAAAAGTCTAAAAATCAAAGAGAAACCTGAAAAACCCTTGAAAAGGGGGGAAAGACTTGGGTGATTTTCTTACAAATGAGAAACAAAAATAAACACCTTCCTTAAAAAGAATCAAATGTACAACTTGAACACATGAATAATGACCCAAGACAAATCAAAGAAAAAACAGTCAACAACAAACGATAAATGAGATGTAAAAAACATTTAAAAAAAAAAGCTTACCGTCTAATTTAGCCTTCGCATGCAAAAGTGAAATCGCTCTTTCTTATGCTTTTGGAATGTAATAATGAGAACAATGAGAGAAATTTTCTAGTTAAATAATAATGTGTAAGGCCAAGGATCAGACATTATTAATGACTAATGAGCTACGTACTATCAACGCAGGCGAATCCATCTGACGCGTGGGTGCTTAGTTGTTCCTTTTTCGTGTATGAAATGATCGGGTCGGGTTATGAACCACCCGGTTTGATTTACGGGTCTGAATTATCCGGTCATAGTTCAAACAAATTTTCCAAACATGCACGTGACAATTTTTAGATTTTTCAATTTCAACTTTGGAATTTTTTTTTTATTTTTTGGTTACAAAAAATGGCCATTACAAATAAGCTCTTGTGACTTTTTTTTTTTAATTATATATATATATGTGTGTGTGTGGCAAATATTTCATATATACCAAATTTACCCTCAACTCTTTGAAACCCTAATCCAACTCCAATTTTATAATTTAGACTTCAATCTAGTCCAATCTCATCAATTAACCAATTTTGATCATTATTCTAGTTTTGACCCCAATTTTGACCACCACTGTCAATGACCACCGGTCAGCAGCCGTTGACTTTATTTTTCTGATTTTTTTTCCGGCATGTTAGTCGCCGTTGACCGCGGGTCTCTAATGTTGACTTAAAAAAATATTTTCATTAATATTACTGTTTGAGAAAGTAATATTATAACGCAACCTGCATGTTGTTGTTGCATGCAACTTGCATTTTGGTGTTACAACTTGAAAGAAAATATATAATTTGGTAGACAAAATAATTGGATATTCAAAAATAATATCGAAAAATATGATTCATTACAAATAAGCTCATTATCCCAAAGTTATTCGTAAAGGGGTCTAGACAAAAAACTCTTTCAGAAAAAAAATCCACACATTGTCCAAATATGTATAAAGGACTAAAATACCCCCTCTCATTTTAATATGCTCCAATTTCATCTTTTTAATTTAATTTAACCTCAATTTGACCCAAAATTTTACAAACTATTCAACAATTTAGACCCAAAAGTCAATTTGAGTACAATTTTTTTTCTTTTCTCCTGATTTTTCTGCCGGTTTTCGTCGCCGGTCTCCAGCGTTGAATTTTTTTTATCATCTTGATTTCCCGTCGGTCTCCGGCGATGACTTTTTCAATATTTTTTTACTTTAACATCTTTTTGCCCCGTTTAAACATCAATATTGTTGTGGTTGACAGTCATATTAACTATATTACTGTTTAACACTATAATATTTACTATATTACAGTTTAACATAGTAATATTGCTATATTACTCCCTATCACAGTAATATTAACACAACAAAATTACTATTATTGTGTAATAGAGTAACATTAATATGTTGACCGTTAATAAAGGCACACATAATAAAAAAAACCAAAATAAGTAATATTGACGTGGTTGACGGTAATATTACTGTACCAGTAATATTATTGTAACAACAATAATATTACCGCAACCACATTAATATTATTATGTCACTACAAGAAAATGCAAAATAGACAACGATTTCTTTAGCAACGAAATATAGTATTTGTGGGTAAAGATTAACGTTTTTGTAACAAGATGTTATTGTTGCCTTTGAATCTCTTAGGCAACGAAATATATTGTTGCAAATAGTATCATATATATTTCGCAACAAATTTCATGAAAGACAACAATTTTGTTTGTTGCAAACAAGTATTTCTTTTTGCTACGGTATAAAATTGTAGTAAATACAGTTACAACAGCAACAAATTTATTTTGTCACCAATAAGTGACGAAAGACGACAATTTTTTTTGTTGGAAATGCTCCACGATATATATATATATATATATATATATATATATTATGACTCAATATTATTTATTTATATAATTTAATTTGACATTATTTATATAACTTTTTTAATCATTTTACCTTGTCTATTTAATTTTTATAAATTTATTTGAAGTCTATTTACACAAATGTGTTGTTGCCCAAGCGGTTGGAGGATTCTCTAACATGAAATTAACCAGGGTTCAAATCCTTCTGTTGTCATGGTGCCATATATTTGATATTTATCAAGTTGGTCCCCCTTGGACCAGCCCCGAGTTCGACGTAGCAAATTGATTCCGAATAGGTTGGTGGTCTAAAGGTCAAAGGCCGGGTTGGACCCACGGATGTGGGTCGAGTCAGATGGATGTGGGTCGGGTCGGGCTCCAATACCACAAAAGCGAACCAGTAATTTACATATATCTCTTTTGGGTCGGGTCGGGCTCCAATACAAAAGCGAACCTTGCAACGAATTAAATTCGTTGCGCATACATATATTTTTGCAATGAATAAATGCGTTACGTAAATGAAATAAATTTGTTGTGTATTCATAAATGTATTGGCAACGAATTATAGTTGGCAACGGAACAAATTCGTTCTAGATTATAAGCGTATTTGCAACGATATATTTTGGGTGACGAAATAGATTCGTTGGCTATAATAGTGTATGCACAACGAATTTTGATTTTCGTTGCCATGAACTTTTAGTAACAGGGCTTTGACAACGAACATGGCAACAATAAAAAATTGTTGCGAATTGCACCACTTTGAAGCTATTCGTTCTAGATTATAAGCGTATTTGCAACGATATATTTTGGGTGACGAAATAGATTCGTTGGCTATAATAGTGTATGCACAACGAATTTTGATTTTCGTTGCCATGAACTTTTAGTAACAGGGCTTTGACAACGAACATGGCAACAATAAAAAATTGTTGCGAATTGCACCACTTTGAAGCTGCATAAACCAAGAAACATACACTGATCAGTCGAAACTTGTAGCTTCATATATATGGTTGGAAGGGGCTGCCGCCGTCGAAGAGAGAGGATCTTTGAAATCAAGGAAGGAAAAAAAAAACAGGCCTGTGAGTGGAGAACGATGAAAGAGAAGCCAAAAGAAACTGCAGCCGATCGAGCGTTTTCCAGAAGAAAAGAGAAAAGGGAAAAAATATTATTACAGCTCCATCGCAAGAGCAGATATGTCAACAATTCTATGTAATTTATGGTAAGCAGCAGAAATAAAATCAAAGGAGATGCAAACATATAGTAAAGGTAAAAGTTAATCAAGACAGGGAAATTCAGGTAGGACCGCATATTAAAAAACGAATGCATAGGAGCAAGAAGAACTAAAAAAAGGCCTAAACTTAAGCAGCAACTTCTGACAAATAAAAAGGTAAACACAAACAAATTATAAACTTCTTGTATAAACCAGAAAAAAACAATAAACATGCATCGATTCTTCGTTTTTATGAATTGGCACTAAAAA